ACAAGTCCTCTTAGGCAGCACTAGGAGAGAAACACTTTGCAGAAACGTTTACGTGATTTATATGCTTCGAGTCTCTATTCCTGTGAAAAGAGTTAAACGAAAGTGTCCTGGAATAACTTGCTGTTACTGTCTTTCACAGTCCATTTTCTTGCTGTCTCCAAAGAATGTTTGCTATATGGTGATTTATGTTCAGGCTTTGGAAAGTGTGTTTTCTCCTTTAAGTCAAAAACTTTTTTTTTACCTAGCACCTCCCGATAAGCCTTTCTTCATGTTTTTATTTGCAATGTTTAAAGACATAAATGAAATGGCTAATGATTTTTGAAACATGTATGTGTTTATTACCTTCTAGAAACAGTGCAAGAGTTGGGAGCAAGTTCTGTGCAAACAACTTAGGTCCCGTTTTTTCCGGGGCTGATTTTTACCACTGGGTTGGTTTGTTTACTTGCTTGTTTTATTCATAGTATTCTTTAAAAAGAATTGTATCATTCAAACAACAAACTAAATAGACACACTTTCAAAGAAGATACACAGATAGCCAAAAGACAATGTGAAAAAAAACTCATTCATTTATCATCAGGGAAATGCAATTCAGAACACAAACACAAGGAGATTATGAGGCAAGCCTCATAAAAGGAACTGAAACAGTTATTGGAGAGGGTGGTGGAAAAGAAACCCCCTTATAGTGTTGATGGGGATGTCCACAGGGTCCACCTTCTATGAAAATAGAATGAAGGTTTGTCAAAATATTAAAAATAGAACTTCCATATGAATTGTCACCATGTTAGACACATGACAGCTCGTTTGGATACCTGAAGAGTCCCTCAAATCTCATCCCAGTAGTACAACGTATTTGTCTCCTAGGCAGTTCTTTCCTCTGCATCTTTTCTCCTGACATCCCACCTTTAGAACTCTACCAAGTACCATCATTACCCAGTACCCTAAACTTAGAACTCTACACAGTACCGCATTTCCTTTCTATTCATCTCTTTTCTTCTCACTAAATTCAAGCCACGTGAAGTTCAAGAGCCCATCAACTTTGCACGAGGTTAACATTGGATAAAAACCTTGAAAGCTAACTATAAATCTGAAACATGGGATAGGTATGAGGAGTGGGGGAGACAACAGTGGACTGTGGTGATGACCACACCTGAAATGTCCAATATTGTTGTGACCACACCTGAGATGGGGCATTAACAAATTTTAATTTAAAACATTAAAATTATGTATTGGTTGAATAACAATCATTGTATTTTCATGCTCTTTTTGGGTGACTGCCATGGGGAATGTTTAGATCTGCATTTTCCTATATAAAGTCAGATTGATAATGCTACCTTTCTAAGGCTCTTGTGAGATGGTGAAGGCCAGTTGTTTTCAACTGGGAGTTACGGCTGCAACAATCATAATTTATGGTGGTATCTGAAGACATTTCTGAATGTTTGTAGCAAACTCATAACAAAATAACTCTCTGATCAAACCTAAGGTTGACAATTCCTAGGGTAAATGAAAGTGCACAGAACCTGCCAGGCCCACAGTTTTTTCTTGCTCTTTATATCTGAATTCTCCATGTTGGATATCACCAATAATAGCAATAACACAGAGAATATATTTATTATTTTCTTGTCATTTCAAAGCACCATATAAGCTTTTAACAAAAGTTAATCCACCTAATTCTTTTCAACAGTGCTGAGTTGAAAACTAATATTATCCTCATTTTTCCAAAGAGGAGATTAACACTTAAGTCATTAAGTAATTTATTCAAGAACCTCCAGTTACTAAGTGTCAGAGATTAGGAAGATGCAATTTCAGGGCCAAGCATTTGAGCAGTAAACTGTACATCTTTCTCTATAAATGCAATTTATATCTTAAAATCTAAAAGGATTTCCATCCTCAGTGGCCAGTGAAAAATAGCTGAAAATGTAAAGGAACATTTATTCTGCATGCTAAAATGTATAAAAGTCATTACTGCCAAGACAGTAATTTCACCATTTGCACTAATTTCAGCTGATATAGTGTGTTGGCTGCTCTTGATCCCAGGATTAGAGAAAATCTACTATGTACTTGTCATTTGTGGGGTTTCCAAAAAGTCCCTAAGAAACCTTGGAAAAAAGTTCATTTTTATTCTGAATTGAACTTGTCTTAGCTGATTATCATCTCGTGATCTAAATAGACCTTTGTTTTCCTACTAAGGTGGTTTAATCGTATTACCCTATATAATCCTATTTGGGGTTTTCTTCGGGGGCTCATCCCCTTCTTTAATAATTACTAAATTTAAAAAATCATAATTAAAGTGTACCTCTAAGAGACCACAGTCCAAGGCAGTGGGTGAAGGATAGGGTCTTTCTTACACAGAAAGTAGATCTACAACTGGATGCGTAACAACAGTCTCCAGTGAGATCCAGCCCCTGTACTTTGGTAACTACCAGTAACTTCTCTTGAAGTTATTAGCCAATGAACTTTATAAGTAGCTTCTATTATCCTCAAGTATTGCTTGTTTTTCAGGTCCTAAAAACTTATAAACACAGTTAAGGAGCATCTATTCCTTTCACTTAAGAGTGTTGAGACACGAGAGTGGCTATTTTTCTCCCTTTGTGTGTTACTATTAATATTACTCCTTGCACATTTCTATTATGCTTTAAAGATTCCTATAACAGATAAGAAACTATATTTGATTTTAAGTTGAGTCCCGCTTTTGAAGAGTGAACGCTAATAGCACCGACTAGATTTTTGTTCTTAAGTAAATCATACTTTATAAGAGTGGCTTCCTCTGCTTACTAATAACTCATTAAGTTCTTACAACACGTGGGTGAACATTTTGCAAGAATCCTTTGAGGCCAAGTACAAGTGGTGAATGTATTACTCCACCGCTAAGGTTTCATTTATATAGGAGGTGCAAGCTAAGATTCTCTCTTGGGTACAAAGTGATTAGTAACCCTTAGGCCTTTCCTCTTCTCAAAAGGAGTCATTTGACACGTTCCTGCATTTAGTTAGCATTTAATAAATCAAATATTTGAACAATTGGTGAAGCTAGCACTGTATTTAGGGCAGTACTTATCAGATTTTAATGTGCACACCTAAGTTCTCACTAACATGCAGATTCTGTGTTTCTAACAAATTCCCAGGTCAGGATGGTGTGCTGGATTAAGGCTCACACTCAAGTCACAAGCTAGGAAGGGACATGGAGATGATTTGAAAATTTGAAACTTGTGTTTAGAAAGGCATCAGAGGCCCTCCCTGGTGGTGCAGCAGGTTAAAGCACAGCACTAAGAAGCTTAAGCCACATCCACATGAGTTCGATTCCCGCCTGCCCCGGAGGTGACCACATGGCACGGCAGACCTCTCCTGACCCGCCCGCTGCTCCCCTCAGCAGATCGTACTTCGTCGATCTGCCTGTTCTGCTCCCCACTCTTTCTCTGGTGAATCCTCTTGCCCTCCACATCTCTGTCCTGTACCTCAGTTCTATATGAATAAATAAATAAATCTTTAAAAAAAAAAAGAAAAAAGAAAGGCATCAAGCTGATGGCATTAAATTCAGTTTTTCTATACCTTTAGTTGTATTATAAATTACACTTTAAGCATAAATGAAAACTTTGACTAGAGGGGATGGCTTAAGTGCTATGACCAAACCTATTATTTGTATGTTTTCTTTAAAATAAATAATGCTTGAATTTTAATAAAGATATACCCATCTGTTTTTTTTTTTTTGCTCAGAAAGAGATTCCTTGTCCTGTGTAAACATTTTTAAACATTAAAACATAAATGTTAAATGTTACCATTTCTGGTCATCAAAAGCATTTTTTAAAAAGATGGTTCACAATTTTCTAAATCATAAAACAATTTTACAATATCCTTGACACTTAAATATCACTTACAATGCCTTTTCTTTCTTTTTTAATTATGTTTCTAAAGATAGCTAAAGGGACAATTTCAGATAGTTCCTCTGCGATTTTAGATATAAGTTGTTTCACTCTCCAGTAGTGGTGAGAATTAAGAGACTCGTAGCCTGCCATGTCCTGTCATGTTAGCTTATTTTGTAGGGAAATCAAATCTGGCACCTTTCGATTTACTTCTTTATGTCTCTAATCTAAAAACAGATGGAACACATTCTGGAACAAGAAGGCATGGTTATGATCTGGGAGTGTCCTTCCCTCCCGACTGAGTCTTCTATCACTTGCTAAAAGCCCTTCTTTAAAAAGCAGGGAAAGACTCACATTTGGGAAGAAGCTGGACGTGTTGAAACCTAATTGATTGTCTATCATGAGCTTGGCAACCCTTCCAGGGGGCAATACGGTATAACTCATCTGTACCTGGAGGTCCCAAATAAGTGGAGATGTATGAAGGACTAGATTTCGCTAGTTCTGCTGGTAACTCAAGTGTGAGCTATTTTGGAGGAAGAAAAAGAAGCTGGGAGGCAAGAAGTAAGGAAGAAAAGTGAAGTCTCTTGCTTTCACGTCCACGTTTGGTTATATTGCATTATGCTTATATTGCTTCATCACAGTTTCAGATCAAATGGATACATCTTTTAAAATGACTGTCAGTCCTCAGTTTACATTTGTTCATTTATAATTCTCAGGAGTTTCACATTTCCCTCCTTAAACTGTATTAGCTGTTCAGCCACTAGTTTCATCTTGAAAAGTGCCTGTGATCAGCAGGATTTTGCAGGCGGCCCTCGTGGGTTGATTCAGTGGGCTCAGCAGGATGTCTCGAGTGCTTCTTTTTGAACATGTAGAGAGCTGCAAGAGAGGATGCAGATTTGGGTGAAAAGCTCAAAATGTGTCCATCAATATCAAAATATGTGTATCAATAGTGAGAAGTAACCACATAGTTTCAATGCTAAGAGAATATCATCATCTATTTCTTGAGTACCCCTTACTGTTACTTAAAATATCATACACCACCTAATCACTGATTCCTAATCACATAGTGCTTGAAAAGCATACAGCAGATGGGCGTATCTACTGCTGCCCCTAACTGACCCTTTTCTCTCTCCTCTCCTACAACAGATTGTGGATTGAACTTAACCAAGAAATTCAGAGACTGATCAACGCCATTCGGACCTACAGCAGAGGAAGGCAGCTCTGGGTGCCCCATCGGGTCCTTGTTGAACGGGGTAACTTGGCATCACTTGCTGCCTGTGTGGAAAATCCTCCCTGTTGAATTCCCTCCTCCCCAGCCCCCCTCCCCCCATGGAGGGCAGTGGCAAAGAAGGCCACACAGGCTGATAGGACCAGGACCAGAGCCCGCTGGAAGATTTTTTGACTGTGGACCTTGGGGACTTCTCCCTCTAGTTGGCGTTCTGGACTTTGACTTGATCATTTTGGATTTCTCTCTATTGTTATTTTGATTTTTTGCTTTTGCTTTTCCCAATCCCACTGTATTTTATTTCTGTACTTCAGCAATGGGCCTACAGACTACACAGTGGCCCAGCTATGGGGCTTTTTTCCTGAAATCCTGGCTTCTCATTTCCCTGGGGCTCTCCTTCCAAGTGTCCGAAACCCTGGCGTGCCCCAGCGTGTGCCGCTGCGACAGGAACTTTGTCTACTGTAACGAGCGAAGCTTGACCTCAGTGCCTCTTGGGATCCCGGAGGGCGTGACCGTACTCTACCTCCACAACAACCAAATCAATAACGCTGGCTTTCCCGCCGAGCTGCACGACGTGCAGTCAGTTCACACCGTCTACCTTTACGGCAACCAACTGGACGAATTCCCCATGAACCTTCCCAAGAACGTCCGAGTCCTCCATTTGCAGGAAAACAACATTCAGACCATTTCCCGCGCGGCCCTGGCCCAGCTGCTGAAGCTTGAGGAGCTCCATCTGGACGACAACTCCATCTCCACGGTGGGAGTGGAAGACGGGGCCTTCCGCGAGGCGCTCAGTCTCAAACTGTTGTTCCTGTCCAAGAACCACTTGAGCAGCGTGCCCGTGGGACTTCCTGTGGACTTGCAAGAGCTGAGAGTGGATGAGAACCGCATCGCTGTCATATCTGACATGGCTTTCCAGAACCTCACGAGCCTGGAGCGTCTGATTGTGGACGGGAACCTCCTGACCAACAAGGGCATTGCCGAGGGTACCTTCAGCCACCTCACCAAGCTCAAGGAATTTTCCATCATCCGGAACTCGCTCTCCCGCCCGCCTCCTGATCTCCCAGGTACTCATCTGATCAGGCTGTATCTGCAGGACAACCAGATCAACCACATCCCGCTGACGGCCTTCGCCAACCTCCGCAAACTGGAAAGGCTGGATATCTCCAACAACCAGCTGCGAGTGTTAACGCAAGGCGTCTTCGATAATCTCTCCAACCTGAAGCAGCTCACGGCGCGGAATAACCCTTGGTTTTGTGACTGCAGTATCAAGTGGGTCACAGAATGGCTCAAATATATCCCATCATCTCTCAACGTGCGGGGATTCATGTGCCAAGGGCCCGAACAAGTCCGGGGCATGGCCGTCAGGGAGCTGAATATGAATCTTCTATCGTGCCCCACCACCACGCCGGGCCTGCCACTCTTCACCCCGGCCCCCAGCACTGCAGCACCCACCGCCCTGCCGCCCACGCCCGCGGGCCCCACTCCCGGCTGGAGCGCCACGCCGGCGAGCCCCACCACCGCGAAACCTCCCACCCTCCCGGACTGGGACAGCAGGGAACGAGCGACCCCACCTGTATCGGAAAGGATCCAACTCTCGATCCAGTTTGTGAATGACACTTCCATTCAAGTCAGCTGGCTCTCTCTCGTTACTGTGATGGCCTACAAACTCACGTGGGTGAAACTGGGCCACAGCTTAGTGGGAGGCATCGTGCAGGAGCGCATCGTCAGCGGTGAGAAGCAACACTTGAGCCTGGTGAATTTAGAGCCCAGGTCCACCTACCGGATTTGTTTAGTGCCGCTGGATGCTTTTAACTACCGCGCGGTGGAGGACACTGTCTGCTCGGAGGCCACCACCCACGCCTTCTATTTGAACAACGGCAGCAACACGGCGTCCAGCCACGAGCAGACCACCTCGCACAGCCTGGGCTCCCCGTTTCTGCTGGCCGGCCTGATCGGGGGTGCGGTGATCTTTGTGCTGGTGGTCTTGCTCAGCGTCTTTTGCTGGCACATGCACAAAAAGGGGCGCTACACTTCCCAGAAGTGGAAATACAACCGGGGCCGGCGGAAAGATGACTACTGCGAGGCGGGCACCAAGAAGGATAACTCCATCCTGGAGATGACAGAAACCAGCTTTCAGATCGTCTCCTTAAATAACGATCAGCTCCTTAAAGGAGATTTCAGACTGCAGCCCATATACACCCCGAATGGGGGCATTAATTACACAGACTGTGTCATCCCCAACAATATGCGCTACTGCAACAGCAGCGTGCCGGACCTGGAGCACTGCCACACGTGACGGCCAGACCGGTGTCCCCTCGGCGGACCGGCGACTGGAGAACACACACGTGTGTGCACATACAGACACGCGAATTACATTTGATAAATGTTACACAGATGCATTTGTGCATTTGAATACTCTGTAATTTATACGGTGTACTATATAATGGGATTTAAAAAAAAGTGCTATCTTTTCTATTTCAAGTTAATTACAAACAGTTTTGTAACTCTTTGCTTTTTAAATCTTAAAAAAAAAAATAGTTGCTGAAGTACTGTACAGGGTTGTACAATGAGAACCCAATGCCAAGCGCGCGAACGAGTGATTTCTTCCTCATGATGCACATTAACCACTTGGTTGTGAGGTTGCCAGAGTAAGTTCCTTTCTTGGATGCGGTGATGAGGTGAAAGAGCAGATGAAAACGGGCTCCTCAGAGCAGGCTACATCTTAGGGGTGAGACAAGAAGTAGCCCACGGTTTTCATGCTATTTCCAGACTTCCTGGGAAAGTTTAAAATCCGAACTAAAGAAAGGAGGTAGTTACCCTGATCTTGATCCAAAACAGGAAATGCAGAAAGCATTAGGAGGAAGTTGGTCCCTGTGAGATAAGTTAACCCAACCAGGCAGCGTGGAGAAAAGGAGATAAGATGTGAGGAGACCTTGGAACCCTGGGTTGGCTTTCTGACTGGAGGATTAGAAACCACTCCTCATGCGTTCCTGGCCCTGGATGAGAAAAAAGTTAGAGACCCGGATCTGATTTTTGCCATCTCCAAGGACAGGTCTCATGTCCCAGCAAGAAAATTCCCTTTAATAACATAATGATGCAAATCTTACGTCCAGGTTGAATCATGTTCAACAGAAATATATTCTAGAATACTTTTTTAGAAGAGGCTAATAAAATAATGGGAAGAATTATATTGAATGGAATTATTTTTGATAATGAGAATTATTTGGGTAGATTTTTTGCAGCTATGTCAACATGATACTTAACCCAACACAAGATCAATGTCTGTACTATATTCAAAGAGCTTGTTACTTAAAAGTTATTACTACCATTTAGAAAAAGCATGTCACCAGTTATTCTGCTAACTCCTCTATCAACTGACTCTGTTAACGTATCATGGTGACATAACGTGCATTAATATCTTTATCCCCTCACAAATTTTTGTCTTCCAATCACCTTACATATATTTTCGTAATTAGCTATTTATGCTACAATTGTTTTCTTCCCCCCTCTGCTCAAAATTTGAAAGACAATTTTGGATGCTACTCTTGATTACATAAACTATCCATACAAATATATACATTTAAAATGTAATGCTAATTTTCACTGCTAATAAGGACACAGCAAAGCTGGTCAAAATACGAATTTTTTTTTCCCCCTTAAAAGCAATACCATAATTCCACCTTGGGCTGACTTTGATCCTACTCCATTTTTGAAATTTCATTTATTCTTTTTCAATTTTGGATGGTCCCCTTCTTTGGGAATTGTAGAAGGATAATCAATCTTCTATTAACAGGATAGCAGATGAAAAATGAACAAATCTGGGAGAGAAGAATCCTTCCCTTAATCTGGGCTGAATGCAGCCCATAGAGCAGAGGGTATAAAGAAGAGAGGAATGTTCATGTTTAATTCTAGATATTTTTGAAGCAATGTCCATCTTCAGAAAGCATATGTAATTTACTCCTTTCCACCCTTAGATGTAGAAGGGCTATAGATCATATGCATTATATAAAACATACACCTTTGGTAAATTCTTCTTAAAATCAAGTTTAGGCATTTCATGCTCTGTTGCATATTTCCTGTGCCATTGGGTTTTTTGTTTGTTTGTTTTTTTAGGAACCCATGAAGTCAATGTCACAATCATTTTGCTTTCCTTCTCTCTCACTTTCACAAGACAGAACTGTGATGTGTCTTCTTTGTAAAAGTTTAGGTATAAAATTCTATGCAAGTTTTTTCTTTATAGTAAGAGCTTTATTTTCTTTAAAAATATACCCCAACTTATATGTTATAATATCTCTTGTTCTTCAGAAGAAGCAGAACTATAAAGCTATAATACTATAGACACAAGAATCAAAACTGTGCAGTCAGTTGAGCTGCAATTAGTTGCAAATTAATTTGAATTCATTCTAAAGTGAATTTGGTTTCCATTTTAGTCTACTAGCTGGTAAGTTTTAAAAACTAGGTCCACACAAGGATGGGATGAGAGATTCTGTGTGTGATCAGAGAAGCAGTAAAGCCATCGCAAATCTGAAAATGACGTCGGACTTTGTGTATTTAACTGGATAATTCCCTTTCACTGTCTTCTTTCTCTTGGCTGTAGATAAAACTATGTGTTCAAATGATGGCACTTTGACTTTTGAGGTTTTTTTTTTTTTTATCCACAAAATAAGTAGTTTCATTTATTTGTATTTTGTGACTAACTTCCAGTGTGTAATTGGCTGCTGAAATTAATCTGGGCAAAGAAGACTGAGGTTGGAGAGGTTCTCTGCTCTCGAAGGAGATTCACCAAGTGATCAGAGACATAGGTGACCCTCAGGTGAGAGAGTCAGGCTGCTCTGAAAAGGTGCCTTTGCTATAAGGTATTTCTGAAGAGATAGAATGTAGACAGTTTGTTCAATGATGTACACAATGCGACAAAGGCTGGTCAAGTGAATGTCAGCCTCCCACTTGTCATAGCATACCTGGGACTCACCTACACCAGCAGAGAAAGCACATCATGGCTTTTGGATTGTCTTATGTGTCTTAGGGAACTGATGACAACCATCACTGACAGATTGTGCATGGATTGGCATATATAGTTGTGGGAATGTGTTTTGCCGATAGACCTGTTTTGTCCTTGGGCTTCACTTGCTATCATTATGTATGTTGAGGAGATCATTCCAGAGTCAAAGTTGAAGGTGTAGGTCAAGATCATAAAGTCCTACTTACCGGCTGATAAACAGTTTGGTGCTGTCCGACCCAATGAATTGGGTCCACTATCAGAGCAAGGTCGCTGCCCCTGTGCAGAGGCAATTCCAGAGGAAAAGCCATGATCACACCAGTGTTCTTGACCATTATTCCTACCCAGAGTTGTCATAAATATCTACATGTTCGGAGAGTGGTGTTTGATCATGGAGAGACCGGGACTTCCCTCAAAAGTGTCAAATGCATCAGCAATTATCCATGGGACAATCACAGAGACAAGGAGTGTTGCTCTGCCTATTTCCTGATGTATCAAGGGAAAAGGATTCTACCCTGTAAAAAATAACATAGTATCTAATTATCTGGATGTTTGTTGAAAATGTTAAGAAAGAGTGAGTGCCATGTGACCAGTCTGGTAACAAATATTAAGTATCAAATACTGCAGCTCCCTAACCTACTAGAGCAGATTATACCTGTCCTAGTGATTTCACAAGAGTTAGATCTTCCTTCCCAACTGGAAAGGACAAGCCCTTTATATTGTGAGCAGAACAAGCAATTCAAACGCAAGGCGACATTACAGTTCACAGGGGATCCCTGCCGGCTTTGATCAGAGAACTCAGCAGAGTCCTTTGCCACTTTGACAGTGAAGTGGTTAATACCATTGACTTATTTGTTCATTACATTTTTTCTCTAACTTATAACAAGTAGAATTAAGTTTTACTTAGAACATGAGCTAACTGTTTTGCTCATGAGTTACCTTTCCAAGATAGGTGGGAAAACAGCAGAGAAGTATAAAGATAGATGCACAAAATGAAACAGAAACCTCCCAGTCTTACTGTCAAACCTTGCCTGACGTTGTACTCCATAGTCAAAATATTAACTTAGGAAGCAAGTGCTTATCATCCTTTAATTTCTGCAGCATGGTGGGAAGAAGATTGCAGGCACTATGAGAAACCAGCCACTGATGGTGGGGACCAAGTTGCATTTGTTATTGTTGCTATAGCAATTCAGGTTCCTTTGCTTTGTTTTGTTTTTGTTTTCTTTCCTTTTGTAGCATTACTCCCACCAGAAGAGCACAAAGCAACGCCATTGCAGCAGACTTTTTAAAAACTAGTTTAAAATGCATGTTAACACACACATGCACACACACACACACACACACACCCTACTGGGGCATCTGTAAATTATCCATGGGATGTTAGATTGATATTCATTTTGAGGCAAGCTGAAGGCGTCTCCACTGTCTCTGATAGGGCCAATGTATGTTCACTGAAAGGTAATCCTGATAATGGCTTATTGTGTGGACCATATGTTGATTTGTTTCCGGTTATATTTAGTATGTTCTCCTGACAAGGGGACTGGAAGATTCTGCATCACAATCCTCTGAGACCTATCATGCGGCACATTTTAACTACAAATTTGACTCTGCACTCTACAGTACCTTGTTGAAATACTCAGTAAAGGCTTATTTTAAAAGTAATCCACTTTGTGTTTATCTAAGTTCATCGGGGTGCAGACAGTACTGGAGTCTTGATGGTTACCTCTTGATCATACAAGAGAATGGCAGGAATAAAGGAGGTAATAATAAGATCTTTCACATTCTGTGTCATGAGGGCAAACTGATTATTTTAGGCCTTTGATCCTTTCGGTGTGAGGGGTTCATATATGCATATCATGTTTTTTCTACTCCCTGACTAACAGGTGTGTTCCTATAGTCTTTAAATATGCACACAATCATTGAACATATTATTTCATAGTTGTGAAATAGTGCTGTTTAGCATATAAATATCAATGTAGTTATCCAATCAGAATAGTCTCACTTATTTCATATTATGTACTATTGCTTTGATTGTCAGTTTTTTTTTAAAATCCCCCATGATACTTTTCATTTATAGCTTATCCACCGCTATTTTCAATGAGCACTCATGAAAATGGATCTATCCATATGCTCAAGTCCAACTCAGGCTTCATCTCATGACTTTCCAGAATCTCTCTCACCTATCTTGGCCATTTCTCAAATAACATATTTAACAGAGATTGAGTCAAGGGATATAATGACACTTTAGTAAACTAATATTAATTACTTGGAGAATCTCTGTTGGAAAATTAACTATGAAAGATAGTGATCAGTGTTGATTGATTTTACATCTGGAAAATTATGTCCATGCAACGTTTGGTTACTTTAACCAAAAGTTACACACCATACTCTGAAAACCAGACCTGTGGTCAGAGGATACCATCCATTCATAGAAGTTTTTTCTTTCTACTCTGTTCAAGGCACTGAGGTCTCATAGAAGAGACTTCAGAGGGCTCAGAGAAAAGTAGAATCCCTGTGAACCCAAAGCTATCTTCTACTCTGCTCTGTTCCTAAGAAATTGGGGTACATCTGGAATACTTACTTCTCACCTACTTCCACAGAGTACTTTCTGTGTTACTGGGTATTCAGACCAAAATATGAATCCACTGCAAAGGGACTAAACAGATCAGGGAATAAACATGTTTTCTCACACAATCATCCCAGAGCACAAATAATGAGTGTACATTTTTTTCATTAAACTCAACAATGTCTAAGGTAACTAGAAGACATACGTCTGATAGTATATTGCATCTGTTATATATATCATATTTTGGTGTTTAACAGACAAAATGATACTGCATTGATAAAACTCAATTCAATTAAAATTTCAGATGTATACCATGTAATCAAAAGTTTAGGCATCACATTTGGTAATTATACATGCAACCTCTTAAATTGCCACTGAGCACCAGAATGGAAATCAATTTAAAGAAATAAAGACACCTGACGATTATTGAGCACCTATATATACATATGATCATGTACAAAAAGCTTTGATACGTGTGATTACACTTTTTCTTTAACTCTCTAAGCTGTAGTCTCTTTATTGTTTACATTTTAAAACACAGGTTTCTAAAGTGGGGCGTGGTTGGTTCACAGTCCCAAATCCTGTCAATGAGAGTTGGGAATTACCATGATTCTATGGAGTCTTCACTGTCTTCTTGCTTCTTTCTACACTGACTAGCCTTAAGACTGAATAACCTTTAGGACAGAATCTTGGTCAAGGTTGAAGATTTTTGATGATAGAAGGTATCACATTTGGTTATTTCTACATGCAACCTCTCAGTAGATGCATATATTAATTATTGTTCATGACAAAATCAAGGGAATATTCTTAAAACTTCAAAATATTTAGCAAGCCCCTTATTTTTGGTCAGCTGTTCCTGATTTTTATGAAAGTATTTTTTATTATTATTTGATGGCTAGACCTTTTATATGATTTGAAATTTTGAGATGTGATAAAACTAGTTATGAACCCACAGAGTGAGACTGAAGAACTTTTTAAGGACATAAGTCAGGTTATTTATAGTAATCAATTTGTTACATGCTCGAGAGTTCCCTCAGTACTGTAGGGTCCTGCTGAGCATGCTCATATGTCAGAATCTATTAGGCCATTAGCAAACTGCCTTGTGAATTTACAGTTACTTTTTTCATAGCATAGAATTTGTGCTTTAGAGGCTATTATCTGAGCTTTGCTTTCATTCACTAAACTGAAAGTTAAGAAAATGTGACCAGTATACTCCAAGCCAGATGTCATTTTAGTACATACACAGGTGATTCTACTTTTCTATTTTCCAGCAGGAAGTCTAAACTAGATGGACGTTTCAATATCTCCTCTGGTGGAGCACGTTTACTTATCCTTTCTATGTCATGATAAACCTTCATGTTGGGTAAATCTTTCCCTCATCAAATGCTACACTTCTTCCTTTGGGCCTTTGTTGGTTTAGTTTTGTTTTCATCCAGTAAATATTTGCTGAGTTTTGGTACTGAATAAGATTGTTTTCCAGGAGAGTTAACCGCATCATCTTAAGTCTTTACTGAAAGCTGCCTTTTTCTCCTTTGAACTCCACATGTCTACATTTAAATAGTCAGCCATCCTGGTCCCTATTTCTGACACTCAAATGTATTTTCTTCCCAAAATTTTCTATCTATGATAAGTTTAAGACCCTTCCTCTAGGTCAACCTTAGCTACACACTACAGGACAAAGGATAATTTATAAGGAGCCCTTGATTGACACTGCCTTGCTTTCAAAATATTCCATTACTATTATTTTTAAGAGTTATTATGCATACAAGAGTTTAGATGTAGAGCCAAGGTGCAGGAGGGTGAGAGGATTCACTAGAGATAGAGTATGGAACAGGACATGTGAGTCCACTAAAATACACTGCTGAAGGGAGCAACAGACAAAGACAGGAGAGGTCTGCTGAGCCATGTGTGTCAACCCCCTGGCTGGGGATTGAACTCACACCACAGTGTTGCTGATATCTTCATAGTACTGAGACTTAACCCCTTGCATCATCAAGGAGGCCCTGGTTTTGTTTGTTTATTTTTTAATTGAAGCAACATTATATAAGTTTCGGGTGTTCCTCTCGGAGAATCAATACATACATAGTTCATTAAGTTCAATGCTAAAAGTTCAAATGCATCCTTCACTAACCCACTGTCTTCTCTCAGAGATTGTGCTTTCTATTCTGTTATCAATACTGTCAAGAATTCAAACTGTGTGGCATGCATGTCCTCTGTCAAGTTGCTCCCTAATCATATCTTCACCCATTTTTCCAGCTAAATGAGCTAAAAACTTAAATGAACAAAGTCTTCAGGCCATCACCCAGAGGTCTCAGACTCCATCATCCTGCTGTAGTCGTGCTCAAGTTTTTGTATTATTATTGTTATTATTTTATCCTCTGACCTCCACTTCCTCTTTTGCCTAGTGACCTGTTCCTCCTTCAAAATACAATCAAATGCCCTTCATCTGCCCCTGGATAGCTTTTTTAAGTCACACTTGTCAATGATCTGACCCCTTCATGCAAAGAATATAACTTTAAAACTAGCTTATTCATAGCAGTTAGACACTGTTCCTTTGTCCTGAATCTATTTCATATCTATAACTTGGGCCCCCTTGGGGCAGAACACTGCTGTTCCTTGTATCTCAGCCAGGGCTGCCTGTGTGTCCAGCCCCTGTTACAGCCATCAGAGGCTTTGGAGGAGGTGTGAACAGAGCACACTGGTCCCTGCAGTGACACTGTGACTCTGGGCTTCCCATGGGACCACATCTCCATGAACGGCACCACGAGGAGAGCTGGGTCCTATGGCTGCATGACTTTGTTTTATTTTAAAATGTGTTTGCTCTGAAAGGAACGTTGAGTTATATCATATACAGATTTTAGATGTGTGTATTAACTCAACATCTGCGTATAAAACATTATGCTCATTATTAAAAACCCAATTCTCTCCTTAACTGTCTACCCTATTTACTCCACCTTTTTTTTTGCCTTACCTTGAATGATTTTTAAAGAAATTAGCAAAAGCAGAGAAATTATGAATTTTTCAGAATAAGACCTCACTCAAATGCTACAATAGGCATTTTGTAAGAACAATATATTTTTCTCTAAAAAAAAATCTTGCTTTTCCAGTCTTATGTTTTACAGAAATTTTGTTTTTGTGATTATTTAATGGGACCTACCTGATTTTCAAGCTTCTCCACAGGATGACTGAGAGAACTATTAAAATGACTTGAGAACATTCTTTTATTCTTTACTGACAACTTCAAAGTTCTGAGGCAGCTTGTAGAAAGACATAAAGAGCTAGCTTAAGGAACTGTCTTGCAACAAATTGTTACCCTCATGAACAAAACACACACACAAAGTGTGTGTAGACAGAGTCAAGTCAAACATTTTGACAGTTTGCTAGTCAAGATGAATTTTTCACATGCAGAAAGCAGAGGTAATTTATTAATTTTTGTTTCCATCAATGATATCAAAAGGGAATAGTCATTATTCACTGTGTCACATTCTATATCTAAAATATGGCATATCTGATGTGTTATCTTAACTGTTACCATGAGAACAAATAGTCCTTTCTAGAGATGACATTCTTGTAAAGAGACAGTGGAGAATAGTGATTGTTAAGAACTCAGCCTTGAGTCAGGCTGACTTCTTTTGGAAACCTGCCTCTGACCAGTCCATTAGCCTTGTTAGTGGCTGATACCATATGGTCATTCATTTCTCTTGCAATAAATGAAGATGGTGAAGTTTGACACCTATGCTGATTTTCAGGAATGTATAACAACTATCTGGGAATTAAACAAGCTTAAATCTATGACATCATATGATGTCATATGATCTGTAGGCAAATTAATATGATCTGCAGGCAAATTAATTCATAAGCACAGAATGACAGGTTGCCAAATTTATATTATGAAAACTGAATTTCTTTGCTGTTGAAAGTCCAACTATATGTGGAGGATCATCTATTGAAAGGTAGTTATCTTTCCACGTTCCTCATAAATATGTACAGCCATTTATCAATACAAGGTTTGTAGGAAGTTTTTCAGTTTCCTTATTCTTTTTTGGCTGGGAAAGGGTAATACAGTGTAACATAGAAAAACACTAGGTCCTCTGTCTTGTGGTGAGAGCAACTACTCAACAGAGATGTTGAAGAGAAGGGAATGGACTTCTTTACAAGGTAGTTTATTTCTTTTCCGACCTGTAGAGCACATATAGGTGTGCTATTGCTAAAATTTAATTCAAGAAATGTACCAAATGGATACCAAGAACAAATATTCAGAAAATATTGGGAAATTGAAACATTTATAAAACCAAGATGGTGACTTTCTGTTTTAAAAATTGGCTGCATTAAATGTCATATAATTAAGTTCTCCCTGCTATACCATGACCTCCACATCAACACTTTGTTGGCAGATATTGGGGATGGTAGAAACCACATGGATGAATGTTTTCATGACTGTTTGAAAATGTGATTGTCTATCAGTTCCCACATGGTTGCTTCTTGTAATCAATGTCATTCTTAATTTCAAAATCTATTTGTAATTAAGAGGCATGCACCCTCTTTTGCTGGGATATATTTCTTCATTCTGTACACATTCTGTTGATGGTCATTCAAATAGTCTCAAAGAAGTTCTATCACTAGGATCTATGCTCAGATTATTTCCCTTTTTATTCCATCTTTTCTTGTTCAGTACATATAAAATTTCAGATAGTTGGATGCTAAAGGAAAAATAACTTCCTGTCTAGTTTTTGCCTACAAAGATTCATTGGTTTCAGGGCAGTTATTTTGAAGGATCAATACTGTCATTCCCAGAGTCTTTGGCCAACCGCCATTCTCTTTGGGAAAGTGTTTATGTTGATAGATGGACCCTAATTGCTTTCTACTGGGAAATATGGTCTTTCTTTTATTGAGATACAGTATGTCCCACTAGTGTATCTGAAAACAAGGGGAAACCAGTTGTTCTCTATGAATATAAATCACATCTGATAGAGAATGGTAGTACCTACACCACAATGGATGGAAAAATGAATTACTGAAATATGATGAATCCCTTCAATTGAGTTCAAAGATGTCTAGAGGTAGATTCTTCCTGATTCTAACCTATGCTCACCTTGGACCTTGGGCAGACTTATGCTTTTGTTTTTTCATCTGTGCAAGGTATAAGTAGTTATAGTGTTTAGCAACAACAATACCACACAGTGTGTGGCATATGCCAAGTAATCAATATCAACTATTTTCAGAAATTTATGGAATTGATGTCCCAAAATTTGGGTTACATAACTTAGGTCTCTCTTGGATCTTGAGTAAGACCATTTGTTTCTCTGGCTTGTTTTTTCTAGCTGATAGCAAAAGACTTTTGTTGATTTCTTATTATCTTTTGGAATTCAAATTCTATTTTATCCTTGATAAGTATCCATAAAATTTAGAGTGAATTAATTGGATTGCTTATGTCTTATGTTCATGTAAATTTTAGGAAGTTGTTTGTGGGGTATAAGACAAGAAACATGCAAAGACTTGGTCTCATGAATTGTTATAAAAACTGAACCCACCCTTCTGCCATTTATTAAAACAATAGTAAAATCCCATGTTTGACAAGCTACATGTACATTTATTCCAAGCAAGAGTTGTGCCATCACAAAGAACTCCCATTTTGTATCTGTAGGACATTATTTAATGTTCTTGGGCCTCAATTTCCTCAAAGATGAAATGGGGGTAATAATACTTGTGAGGATTCAATGAGATACATTATGTCAAGTGTTCAGTGTATGACTGCTATTCATTTAAAGCCATTATGAATGAAAAATTATAAATGACTAGTATGAAAAGCAAGTGGGAAAATTCATTTGTATCAAGTTAATTACCTTTATTCAAAAGAGAGAGATTCAAACTATAATGTTAAGTAGACATATTTATAAGATACTTTATTTTAGTAAAAAGTATCAAAGATAAATTTCCCTACAATAAAAATTGTACAAAACAAAACTGCTTCTTCAAATGTTGAATGCATTTTCTATTTTTGCAGGCCTTTTATGTAAAGCTTGACGTATTATACTTTAAATATTCCACAGAAAAGAGATTATGAAAAGAAAACCTGGGAAATGTTTAAGTATGGTTTATTTTTTGATGAAGTAGGATATATTTTAATACTGACTCTGTCAGTTACTATCTTTGAAACTTGAAAAAAGTATACCAGTATGGTCTAAAATAAAGAATGAGTTTTTAGAATAGTAGTAATAGTAGTAAATACTTCTCTCCATGACTTTCAACATTTATGAAATCACTGCTTAATTGTTAACAATGAGAAGTTAATTCTGAAATATTTAGCCTTAAACTGATCAGCTAAGAATCCTTGACAGTTTACACAAATTTTATTTGACAACTGAATTATTAATGAAGAATTGTATTATTAGAGATATTGATATAAAGTAGACTTTCTAATAATTTATACCAGCCTAATGATTAATATTTTAAATGAATGGCTTTAAATTGTAGTTGGAAATAATCCTTAGGATTCAGATTGAGGTATCATTGTCTATACACCTCTTTTACAAACTGTTAGTTAAGATTCTCATTCATTAGCTCTTTTTATGAATTTTTTTATCATTCATTAATTGTTATAAAGAGATTCTATTTAAAAAATACTAAAACTAGCATTTTGGATAATCGGTGGAATACTGTGCTATCATGAAAAAGGGCCATTCATTTTAAAAGGGATTTATTGAAGTAAATATTATCAAATGTTTTTTATTTATCTTTTCACACAGTAATATTATACCTGGCATTTCAGGATCTTCCTGATACTAGCAAAATACAAGTGAATCACAGGTGAAGTCCCCTACAGAAAAACATTTTTACTAATTTTAATTAATTTCTCATAGCAAAGTCAAAACTTCAGACCTGTTTTTGAAGTCACT